CCCCAAAACCCCAAAACCCCAAAACCCCATTTAAAATTTATTTTCAAATTAATTATCTGAGATGTCGAGAAGCCGAGTTGTACCTAATAATGATGCTTCCTTCAAGAGCGATAATAGGATATTTAGAGATGATATCAGCGAATCTGCCTGTAAGGTTCCTTTGACATTCTTCAGTGCTTTCAAAGCTGAAATTTATCAGCAATAATTTACTACAGCCAAAGTTCATTACTGAAGTTTCTTAATGCCTAAGCTTAAAAACTGATTTTACTTAATAAACTTAATTTTGTGAGTCTAGGATCATTCTTATGGAGAAACTTTTGATTGTTTTTGTCTCTTTCTGCTTCATACTTTTTTAGGTAATTGGAATGACAAAAGTGATCAGGAAATATCAGTTCTCCAGAAGCTAGAGAGCCAGCTTGGGTATACTCCTGCAGATTATGAGAAAGGAATAATGCACCGCCAAGAAAACAGTGTGAGAAAGCTAGATGGCACAATCTATTCATTGGTGGATACAGATATCTTTGAGTTCGGAAGATATGGAGTTGGGTTATACCTCTACATGCTTTACATAAAACATATCATCATTGCCTTTGCCATCATGACTCTAATTGCAATACCAGCATTTGCTTCGAATATAAGTGGAGGATATTATGCTCATAGGAACTTTTCAGTATTAGGATACACAATGCTAGGGAATCAAGATGGATTTGAGGAAGGTACACAACTTCAACACGGAATTAAAGCACATTCGGATAATGATCTACAGAAGTATCTTGTGATTTACAGTGACTTAGCCAATACTCTTTTCTTTTTCTGCTTTATCTATTACTTAAAGTATATTGGAGCAGTTGCCATAAAGGAAGCTTTATACAAAACTCAGACACCATCAGATTACACTTTATATGTGACTGGGCTACCTAATGAATACCAGACAGTGAAGGATGCCAGGCCTGAAGATGGAAAGGAGGCCACCACTAAGTATAGAAGTAAGTATGCCCTGAACCTTATCTTATCTATCTCTAGTAACTATCCACGAAGTTGAGGAGCACTTCGCTCAGTACGGTAAGGTAGTCGAAGTTATCTTCGCAAGAAAGTTTGGAAAAATGATGAAAATCTATAAATAAACAAGACGCTCTGAATAAGAAAATCTTTAAAAGAGAAGCCAAAATTAGGATCCTTGCTGAAGAAAATGGAAGGAATCCTAACAAAGAGGTCTCTTTAGACCAGAAGCTTCAGAAGTTGGTACTTCGTGACAGAAAAATGGAACAAGATATTAGAAACAATTATCCGAAGATTAGATCTTATGATGACCTCCATGCTTTTGGAGCCTTTGTGATCTTTGATGACGTTCTTTCTTGAAATAGATGCTTTCTCGATTACAAAGAAAGTAATAGACTATTATACCAGAATAGGCTCAAATTCTTGGATAAGTACCAAATAAAATGCCAATATGCCGATGATCCCGTTAATATCAACTGGGATAACCTAGAAGTAGGAAGATGCGAGAGTTTCAGAAGGAGTGCTTTAACCATTGCCATTGCAGCTGTAAGTATAGCTAAATAATATACTCTCTAGGGGCTTTTATGCATCACTTTTCTGGTAGTCTATGTCATGAGATCATTCCAAAACTCCCTAGCTGACCCAGACGGCTGTGAGACTTATGAAATTTATGATACTAATAGTGTTGATAGAAGCAACAATGAAGCTGTTACTTGAGTCTGAATCAACGATGGGTTCTTTTCTATCATCTTCCAACCCAGCAAGCATAATGTATGAGAGACCTACATTCGTGATTATATCCTCAGAACTCTGGTGACCGTAGTCGTGTCACTTATAGTATCAATGATTAACTTCATGATCAAAATAGTGTTCAGGACTCTGGCTAAATATGAGAGGTACAAATCTTTGATTCATGAGACTGAGTCTATCTTCTGGAAATTGTTTGTCTCCATTTTTATCAACATGGCAATATTACTCTTACTTATCAATGCCAATTTTCAGAGTATTGGGCTTATCAAAGATATCTCAGATTGGCTTCCGATTGGAGGAGACCTCTTCTTTAGTGGAAGATATGAAGATCTGGATAGAAGTTGGTATCCTAGAGTTGGTTTAGCCTTCTGTGTCCTCATGATCTCAACTATTTTCTCAAATTTGGTCAGTACAGGAATGTGGGAGGTCATCAGGATGTACAAAAGAAACATCCATGCAAAGAAACAGCTACTTCAATGTGATATGAATGAGAATATGCTTGGAGGGGTATTCGAAATGGATGCTAAATATGGAATGTCACTTGCAATAATCTTCTTAGCCAATCTATATTATGGATCAATTCCTTTACTGTGTCCAATAATGTCAATTTATTTCTTTATCCAGTTCTGGCTAGACAAATTGTATATCACAAAGTTTGCAAGGAAGCCTCCTCATTATCAAAGGAACCTTCATAATATGATGATCAAGATTATCCCTTATTCAACATTTCTTCACTGTGCGTTCTCTTTATGGGCATATGGAAATCCTGAAATATGGCCAGAGAATGTAGAAGCAAGAGTTGTTGATGGGATTACCAGATATTATCCAGAGGAAAGAACGTTCTCTGAGAGACTGTTTAACCACAACTCTTTGCCTCACTTTATTCTTCTCTGTGTTTTGATTATAATTTATCTCATTGAGATTACCCTTGGAAGTTTCTTTATGAATAAAGTTAACAAATGTTTGAAAAGGAAGAAACAGTTGGAATCTAGTAAGCTATCTCTGATCTTTAGACTCAAATGTAAATATTGAGCAAAAGACATTCACTAAAAACCGTTCAAAGATGTCTAAATTTAGTCAGATAAGCTACAACCCTGAACTGAATACCAACTACGCTAAGGTGTTACTTGCCATGCAAGATGTTGCTGTTGTCAAGAAGGATATCGATCCTGAAGACCTCCCTAAGATTACTGATAAGAAAGACAAGATGAAGAAGATCAAGACCTCTAAGTTAGCCTATAATGAGTACAAGAAGAAGACTATGCAGTAAGTCTAGCTATGTTTATCATGTAGGAAAGTAAATAGTTTCAGAGAGTAAGTCATCTTATAACATCTAAAGGGAAAGCAAGAACACTGACCCCTTCCAAGATAGTAGCGAAGAGGTAACAAACAAGTCTAGCCTATAGGATCCACTAGAGAAGAAACCGAAGAGACATGGGCAGTTGCCTAAACTAGTGAAGCTGAAGAAAAAGAAGTCTCAAAAGAAAGAGAAAACCCCCACGAAGAACAAGAAGTCTAAAAAACATCCAAAGAACGCCATGAACACTTTCGACCCCACTAAACCACCTAAAACCAAATCCACCACCTAAATTACCACATCTAATTCCATCCCCCTCCTTCCCCCAGGGGTTTTGGGGTTTTGGGGTTTTGGGGTTTTGGAGTTTTGGGGTTCTGGG